TGGCTGGCCACCCGCATCAATTTACTGATGTTTGTAACACTTTGAAATGTATCAAAAATTTAAGATGGAATATTTGATGAATAAAGGGATGGCTAGATAAGTGGAAATGTGATAAAGCAAATATAGTAAATTGTTAATTATAGACTATAGGTGGTAGGTATGTATATGTTCACTAGTGCAACTGCAAATTAAATTAAATGAGCTAATATGTGTAAAATTATACAGTAATCTGCTTGAGCCATATATTTATAAAGTGTTAAAAGTACTTGCTAATTAAGATAAATCTGAAATGAAATATAGCACTCCTGAAATTAATATACATCAGTGACAAAATGTGATATAACTTACAAAAATTCAACTCATACACAATGTTACAGCTCTATTGCATAATAGGACATGTATTAAATAGTATTATGTTGTTATTATAGCTACGTGACATAAAATGCCACAAACATTTCCCAGGAGAAAGAGAGTAGGTAAGAAAAGCCTAAATGAATAATCATATTAAGATTGTATGAGTGTTGGCATTACTTGCATGTTAATGATTCTCCTTTTTTTTTTTTTTTTTTGAGACAGAGTCTCACTGTGTTGCCCTGGCTAGAGTGAGTGCCGTGGCGTCAGCCTAGCTCACAGCAACCTCAAACTCCTGGGCTCAAGCGATCCTCCTGCCTCAGCCTCCCGAGTAGCTGGGACTACAGGCACGTGCCACCATGCCCGGCTAATTTTTTTTTCTATATATTTTTAGTTGTCCAATTAATTTCTTTCTATTTTTTTAGTAGAGGCGGGGGTCTCGCTCTTGCTCAGGCTGGTCTCGAACTCCTGAGCTCAAACAATCTGCCCGCCTCGGCTTCCCAGCGAGCTAGGATTACAGGCGTGAGCCACCGCGCCCGGCCCTGATTCTCCTTTCTTATGTGGAAAAAAACCCCAAACAGTCCAGGTATGGTGGCTCATGCCTGTAATCCCAGCACTTTGGGAGGTCAAGGGGAGGATCGCTTGAGCCCAGGAGTTTGAGACCAGCCTGGGCAACATAGTGAGACCCCATCTCTACAAAAAATTAAAATAAACCTTTTCATCCATTATAAATTATGTACCTTCTCAAGAACAATAAACACAGAGTTCCATAACAACTAGCACATGTAATAGGTTCTTCCGTGATTTCCCAACTCAAACTGCATCTGCTTGGATTGCCCACATCTCTGGCACCCTTCTACACTACAGAGCGTGGCTCTGATTCAGACACTGTATGGAGGGGAACATCATGACAGTTTTGAAACAGTCCTCTGATATTTCTAGCAATGTAAAAGGTATGGTATCAGAATATACGTTATAGAGAAATCTGATAGCATTTTCAATAAAGGTACTTAAAAAAAATTTTCCCCACTGAAAAGCAAACAAACAAATAAGAAACCATGGGAAAGATACTTTCAGAACAATGCCTATACCTTATAGCCTGGACAAATTGATAACACACACACAGAGTTTCCAAAATAACTTTTATTGCTATATAAAAAGTTAAGAAAAAATAGATGCATATTTCTTCCTACAAAATTATAAAATATTCAGGATATTTGATATTTTTCCATAAATGCACTAAGATAAAAAGACAAATTTAAAGATAGAAATCTTTTCCATGTAAGCTTTTTAGGTACCTTTTAGAGAATAAGTAATAATAATTTTCTTTCCTCTATACTTTCCTATAAGACACAGCGGTTACAGTTTTCTGTTGGAGTTATCTATTAATAAAAAAAGGACATACCAAGATAAAAATTCCATCATATTGAAATAAAATTAGCATAAAGCTTTACGTCTTCCCTTGTGCTTTCAGATTGGTAGTTGCAGTCAATCAGTCTGCCTGGAATTTCCAACTCAGCAGGGGAAAGAGCCTAATTAAAAATGAGACACACTCTTTATTTCGTCCTTTAGAAAATAGAAACCACTTGTCAGTATTCTTTCAAAAGTGTAATTGCCTTCTTTGTCATTTCCCCTTAAAGTCTGAGATGCTGTTTCCAAACAGCACAGCTTCAATGCAACTATGCAAGTAAAGGAAGGAAAGTGCTTTGGAGGGTGGATTCAATTTGACACAAGAAACACAGGAAGCTGTATACTTTTGATGACATTAATTCAAAAAGTATATTCATTGGAGTTTCTTAATAAACTCTTCGACAGAAAAGGCTTTAGTGTTGATTCAGATGAGTGTTAAAATAAAGCTTTCTTTTCTGAAATTAGATTATGGGGTAAAGCCATATTATCTATGCAGATGATATAAACTATAATTATTTTGGGAGGTTTCAATCACTGTTTTGGAATTGATACCTAAGGCTTTCTTCTCCCCTATTCTTTGTGGACTTTTTAATGAGATATTTTTGGGGGAGATGCTTTAGGTAGGAAATATCAGCTTTTGAAAGATAAAGGTACAATTATCACTGGCATAAAATGCCCATTATAAGAAGAGTCTAAAACAGAAAGGCTTTCTAGATATATTTTACTATGTATTGTTTTATTAAAGGCCGAAAAAGAAAGAAAAGAAGCTCCTATAATATCTGTAAGATTACCCTCACATTAGCCCACCTAAAAGATAAAATAAAGCGCTGAGATGAGGGCTGCTCACATACTTTGCAATGGAGCTATTCTAGTGCCAAATGCATAATTAAGTTTTCACTCATAACCTCTTTCTTGGCCTATATGAAAAGGAATGGGAGCCTAAATTTTTGGGGCTCAGTCACTATCTCCCCCCAAAAATCCCTGGAATTTTGTGCCCCTCTATGTAATGAAGCATCCATTTATCAAATGGTGTGTGACCATGCAACTCCTCCTTCGACTTAGCACCAAGATTGTACCATGCTCTTCCCATACTGAATTTAATTGTGCTACTATGTGCCAGGCATTGGGCTGGGCACTGGGGATACTTCTGTCGCAATCACAAATTTTGGAAATAGAATGAATTAAATAAGAAGAAAATAGCGTTATAATAGGTGACTCTTGAATGGTTCTCCATGAATTGTAAGGGATATGATGGAGTGTAGCTTATATTCAGTCTTTGGAAGTAATTATCAGTTATCTAAAAGGAAATCCACTAGGATTTCCAAAAGGAAAGCACCAAAACTGTTACATGTATTCGGTGTAAACTGTAAGGTTTTTATCCACATTCAAATGCTTCAGTTTAAGATTGCAAAGAAGCCAAAATTCAACCCCAAAATGAAAGGCATCATTTCAGCATAGACACTACTCTAGATTTTAATTTAAGTCAGCTCAGAGCCTAGACAGAGATCTCCACACGTGAAAAGTTGTTACCTCTAACCCACTGCTGAGAAACCCAAAGCTCAAAATAGTCCCCAAATTCCATGAAAAGCAGGAAGAACCCTAACTATTGCCCCAGAGCAGGGCAGACCATGAGATAGGTCTTTTCTAGCTCCAAACTCAAACTTATTCGGCAGCTAAGATCCTGAAGAAAAAAATTGCAATTAATTAATCATGAAAGCTGCAGATGTTCTTTTTTTCTCTCTCTCAGCTGCTTGAATCAGAAGAAAGCTATAGATATTCTTGCCCAAATCTTTCTGTCACCAAGACACGATTTTAAGCTCAAAGGAGTATTAAGCCAGGCCATGGCTTGTTGGCAATGGCGGGGGCCCCATGATCTACTCCAGGTATGAGTGGCTCCTTTTCCTTGGTTAGCTGGGGAATCTGCCTGGAAATTGAGCCAAAGGGAAAGGAGAACCCCTTAAATAGTCCCATTCCACCTCAGCCTGTTTATTCAGAGACAGGTCGAAGTAGGTGCAATTTAGTACAAGACAGAAAATAGCATAGTGATGTGGTTATGGTCACAGACTGAGGAGCCAGATCGCCAGCATTTGAATTGTGACGTTGGGTCGAATTATTAGTGTGTCCAGGCTTTGGATGTCTTACCCGTAAAATGGAATAATAACAGTACCTACCTCATGGGGTGTGTCTGGAGATTGAATGAGCTAATTCCTGTAAGGTACTTAGAGGAGTGTCTAGTGCAGAGTAAGTTCCATGTAAGAACTTTTAAAAATAAGAAAAGAAACTTAGAGGCCGGGCGCGGTGGCTCATGCCTGTAATCCTAGCACTCTGGGAGGCCGAGGCAGGAGGATCGTTTGAGCTCAGGAGTTTGAGACCAGCCTGAGCAAGAGTGAGACCCCGTCTCTACTAAAAATAGAAAGAAATTGGCTGGACAGCTAAAAATATATAGAAAAAATTAGCCAGGCATGGTGGCACATGCCTGTAGTCCCAGCTACTCGGGAGGCTGAGGCAGAAGGATTGCTTGAGCCCAGGAGTTTGAGGTTGCTGTGAGCTAGGCTGATGCCACGGCACTCTAGCCCGGGCAACAGAGCGAGACTCTGTCTCAAAAAAAAAAAAAAAAAAAAAAAAAAGAAAAGAAACTTAGATAAAACTGCTCTTTGAGATTTGTAGAGCAGTTTATGCTGCTTAAGCATCCAGGCATGTTTTATTCTAAGAGGTTTAGAATCTGGGTTATGAAAAGTACACCAACCCCAGGAAGTCTTGGAACTAAGTTGAGTTTTGGAAAATCTTCTAAGTGTGACCAGAGAAGATCTCTTCAACTCCCTATGGCCCAAACACTATTCCAAAATACCCTAACGTAAACCCTGGTCTCCAAGGCTAATTCAAACCCAAACAAGCTGGGGAGGGAGCAGAAGACAGGCATGGGGAGAAAGGAGCCAGTTATTTCCCTAATTTTTTTTTCCTATACTCTAACCATGATATCTATGTAGCAAAATGGTCTAAACCCTGTCCCGGATATTCATAATCTGATTTAAAAACTTTAGGACTGGTTCTACCTGGTTCTGAAATCACTGGGCTCTCAGAAGTAACAGGAAATGACTGCATGAGAAGAGGCCAGGGATGCTGCCAGTTTATCAAATGAACCAACTAGTAGTAGACATGTATTGAGCACCTGTTCTGTGCAAGGCACTGTGCTAATGCTTTGGTCCTCAACAAGAAAGAGGTAACATAACCACAATTTGTATCTGCTATTATCTGTATTGATCACATGAATTGGAAAGGTCCAATTCATGTAAGTTCATAGGCCTCAATCAATACAAACTCTTTCAAGAAATCTTCCTTTATGATTAAAAAAAATATTGACACTATGTAGCTCAATTATCTTATGGCTAAATAGGAGAAGCTAAACCGTAGACCTAGTTTTTAGAAGTAAAGTTATACTGATACGTCTCTACACCATTTTACATGGTGGATCTCTGTACAGCCTCATCAAGGGCTAAGTTTCTTTTCCTTGCTGCTGCTTCACTGTTTAATTCTGAATCTGATTTGTCCATGTTGTGGCCATAGCTGGTTGCCATGGAGCCTTCCTCTCTCTCTGTGGTGCCTCCATTTGGCTGAAAAAGGGTAGAATTCGGTTCTTTAGGACGTTTCCATTGTGGTCTGGTAACTATCCAAAAAATGAGGGCCCCAAACACCAGAATTAGAAGGCCGAGGATATTTGCGAAAACACCTTCTGGTGGGAATGTACTGTAAGCAGGATCCTTCCTATGAAAAAAGGAGAAAGTGTGTTCAATTACAAACAGGGTAATATGGCAACATGCAAAACAGTCTTGAATTTATCTGCTCAAAATGCACAATGGTACAGCTTCAGTGTAAATTTCCTTAAAACTTGCTATTAAGCAGAAATTTAAGTTATGCTATAATTCACTCAGTGGTATATCATACAATTGTTAAAAATCATAAATATGAAAATAATATAGCAGTTATAACACCTGTATCACTTAAAAATTGGAAAAAATATGAAACAAAAATGTAGGCACACTGTAATTACAATTAAGATAAAAACATGCATATCAAAAAGACTGAAAAGGAATGCATAACTTCAACAGTTGTTTTGTAAGAGTGGTACGATTTGTTGGACTTTTTGGTCCTTCTTCTAAGCTTTTAGTAGTATTATATTACATGTATAATATAATAAATTATTTTAAAAACAAGTGTTTTTAATTTTTAACATTTAAAAAGATTTCGCTGCGTTTATATTACATTTTCCCAATGAACAAGTATTTAACGTATTATAGCTTAAGCATTACAATCAGGAAGAATACGCAACTTACAGGACAAAAAACAGTTTCTCGGTCACTCCCGTAAGTGTTGTTACAATCGCTGTTCCAAAGAGGAGAAGTCCAGAATAAACATGTATGGGCATTAAAGCTGCTCGGAGAGAAAGTGGAGCCCAAGGAAGCAGAAAGACAAAAAAACCTAGGAGAAGCTAAACACAAAAAAATGCAAAGATTATAATTTAATTTTAAGTTTTAACTCACCTTAAATTATTATCTAAAAAACCATATGTGTAAAATGAGAAAACCTTTCATGTAGAACCAAGGAGCATAAAATGAAAAGTAAGCTTCCTCGCCCCCAGTTCCACTACCTAAAAGTAACAACTATTACCACTTTCTCATGTATCCTCCCAGAAAATTTCTATGCCTATACATGCATATTATATGTATTATACATAATATATATGTTTCTTAAGTATAAGTGGGACCTTACTATACATATTACCCTGCATCTTGCTTTCTTCCTTTAACTGTATATCTTGGAGATCTTTTCTTATCAACAAATGTTTATCCAGTTTATTCTTTTTAATGGCTAATATTCTATTTTAAGGATGTAACATAACTTACTTATACAGTTCTCTATTTATGGACATTTCTGTTTCCAGTTTCTTTGCTATCATTAACAAGGCCGTAGTGAACATTCTGGTACTTACTTGTTTGTTTTTATCGATTTCCTAAGGTTGCCAAGGAAGAAAGGAAGTAAGAGATTTTTTTTTAAATCACTAAACCCACATACATGAGGACATATAATTTAGTCAGTTCAACCTAAAAAGCTATGTGGAAAGAAGCTGACAATTTTGTTTCATGAGGAAGAAATGAATTCTGCAGAAAAGTTATCTTCATTTCCTTGATAAATAAATCCCTAGTGGGATATGTTTTTGCAGAGAAGACAGCAAGATTCCTAAATAAACTGAAGTCTGTCACACTTGGACAGTTTTGTTGCCCCACACACCTGCCAGTTAAGTATTCTCCTCTCTTCAAGAAAATAAAGATGACTTAGTGGCTGCTGAATTACTAAGTTTAAAGGAATATTTTTTTCAGGTGCCTATTTAGGATCTATCACCCTAACAAAACAACTATGAGAAGAGAAGAGAGTGGGAGAAAAGCACTAACATCACTGTTCATCTTTCCTAATTAAGCTCCAAGGACTAATGGGGGGGCAGGGGCAGAAGAATGGAGGCAGGAGGAGGGGTCGGAAGCCCTCACAGACATTTAGAATCAGCATATGATAATAAACGTAAGGAAATAAAAAATGCAGTTGATAGGCTGGTTTACATATTTTATTGTTCGCTTAATCCCCCAAATGCCTGAATATATTAGAAATGGTTCAGAGGCTTACCCCTTAGTGGTTCAGGATATTCCTAAATGTCCTTCAGTGAACTTCAGTGACTCTATTAGCACCAAAGGGCAAGCTTCCTGATATCCATGCTGTGTTTTCTATATGAGAATGTGGCTCAGGTAAGTGACTGTCAGGGATTTAGCACAAATATATTTCTGTAAGTCACCATATCTTTTCTGTGACTTACCCATAAAAATATATATTTCTCATATTCCTGTTCTCCCGACCATTTTTATTCCTAAAATTCTTACTGTTTTCTCTCATTTCTTTCATAATTTATCATGTATGTCTTTTATAATCCTGTAAGGTTCAATGATTTAAGGCAGATACAATGTCAGAAATTTGCTTGCAGGATCCCCAAGCAATTTAACTCCCCTAAATCTTCCCTTTCATCATTAAAAAAATTCTTTCAACAGGCTGGGCACAGTGGCTCACACCTGTAATCGTATATCTACAGGAGAGATGAAAAATGCCATCTTCATCTCCACCTACCACAAGATTTACACTTCTAATAACAACAGCTAACTTGTGCCATTCTAGTGTGCTAAGCCCTGGGCTAACCCTTTCTATGCATTATTTGGCTTTGATTCTTATGGTTTTGTGAAGGATCATAAGCCTTAATTTGTAGCTGAGCAAACTAAATCCAGAGAAGTTAAGTTACTTGACTAAGGTCACCAGCTACCAAATGGATGAACCTAATTCCAACTGAGGTCTCCTTGGTTGCAAACCCTGCTTTCTTAAACACTACTTGCTCTCTAGATCTGAACAAGGGAGAAGTTAGGGGCCAAAATTCCTCCCACTCAGCAAAGCCATGAAGTTGTGAAATGATATTTCTGAGAAGCCCAGTTAGTACAAAGAAAATAATATCTCTGGATATTTCAGAGAGCAAAAGAGAATCTTGAGGCAATTAAATATGTTTTCAATTCACCCAAGTTTAAAAATAGAATATATTGATATAATTGACTAATAGTAAAGAAAAAAAACTTACAGTAGGGAGATTATATGTAACAATAATTTGTTGTATATTTCAAAATACCTAAAAGAGAAGAATTGGAATGCTCCTAACACACAAAAAAAATAAATATTTGAAGTGATGGATATCCCAATTACCCTGATTTATTCCTTAAACATCGTATGTATACTTGTATTAAAATGTCACATGTGCCCCCAAAATATGTACAACTATTATTACTATGTATCGATAAAAATAATTAATTAAAAAGAAAAAAGCAATATTCATTTCAACAGATACAGGAAGAGCATTCAATAAAATTCCACATATACTCACTTAAAAAAGTAAAACAAAACCTTACCACAAACAAGGATAGAGGAAATGAGAAGCTTCTATACACATAATAAAACATTAGAAGTGTTCTCTTTAAAATAAGAACAAAGTTAAGAATTCTTTTCTCTACTTCTCTACTTCTTACTTCTTCTATACACTTCTACATACTTCAATACTTCTATACTCTTCAATTCTGTACCTTGCTGGCTAGGACTTAGAGAAAAAGACTGTATATGACAAAACTGGCATTGTAGATAAATGGCAAGAGCAGAGACAATTCAATAAATTGTGATGGGGAAACAGCATATCCATTTCATAAAAAACGAAGTTGCATTGCAACATCATACACTAAGTTAATTCTAAATGAATTAATCACTTAAACATCAAAGACAAAACTTTAATACTTTTAATAGAAAGCGTAAGAGAATGTTTTGAACTCAGGGTAGAAAAGGATTTCATAAACAAGTCACCAAAAGAAAACAAAACAAAAAAATGATAATCTTAGAGGAAAAGATAATTAATTTGGTTGCATTAAAATTGAGAATTTTTCATTTGGAAGGGGTTGTTGCAATAATAAAATAAAATAAATTGAGAATTTTTATTTATCAAAAAGTATTAACAAAAGAGAGAAAATGCAAGCTTCAAACTGGAAGAAGATATAGCAATACATATAAACAATAAGGAATTTAATATAGAATTCTTACAAATCTGTTTTTCTTACAAAAGAAAAACAAACTCATTTTTTATATGGACAAAAGACACGAACAAGTATTTCTTAGAAAAGAAAACATTAATGAAATGAACATTCAAACAAGAAGATATCATTATAGACCCACTAGTTTGGCAATAATTTAAAAGTCTGAAGAAGATGCAAGCTGGGAAAGATATGCCATATGGGAACTCTTATAAACTGTGGTCAGGAATATAATTGGGGTCAACCACTTTGGAAACCAAGCTGGCATTATCTTTTTAGGTTGAGCATTACCCACTGCTAATTATATGCCCAGAGAAACCCCTACATATGAGGACCACAATATGTGTATATAAATGTTCAATGCAGCATTGTTTGTAACAGAAAACAATTGAAAATAATGCAAATGTCTAATAGCAGGAGAATGAGTAAGTAAATTTGTGGAACATTTATACAGCGGAATATAAAAGTAAAAATGAATGGACTATAGCTAGAGCAATCAATACAGTTGAATCAGTAGAGTAAAAAAGCTGCAATAGGATATATATAATATGAGACCTTTTTTTAAAAAATCTTCAATTAAAAAAGTAAAATTATTATACTTAGCTCTTCGACTTGTAAAAAATAAGTTAAAGAGCAAAATTAAATACTATATCATTTAATTAATCAATATTATTTAATTAAACAACACATTTTAAAGTTAATTAATCAATGTTATTTAATTAAACAACATATTGTTTACTTAATCAATATTTTAAATTAAATACCATGTTTAATTAGTTAATCAATTTAATTAAACAACATACTACTTAACCAATATTATTTAAACAACATATTATTTAATTAATCAATGTATGATATATAAAACAATATAATGAGTCACAGTATGTAGTAAAAATATAAAGAAAATCAGAGAATGAGAAAAAAAACCAGGAGAGTGGTTACCCCTAGGGGTTGAGGTGGGTAGGGAATTGTGGGATCAAAGTGGTATTGGGTAGGTGGGTGGAGGTCCTATGCTTTCTAAATTAGGTTGAATGTGGAGCCCTGGGAGTTGATTTTATTATGATTATTCATAACTTCTACATACATACAATACTTTGTTTTTTTTGTTTTTTAATGCCCCACAGGCCAGGTCTCAGAAGTTGAAAGAATTCTACACTTGAAATGCTTTAAATACAATGTTGGAAGGGTGAAGAGCTTTCAGCTTTTCTTGCTTTATTATTTTATTGTCTGATGCCTTCCTTTTTTTTTTTTTTACTGAAACAATCCAGACACCGGCTTCACTGGGCAGGTAAATCCTAATTTTACACGTAGTGGCTAAACGAAATCCCAGCAGCGCTAAGGTGAGAGGATCTAATTTCAAAAATCTTTCCGATCCTCTTCATGCTACACAGGTTTGTTTCTTGAGTGGGACTGAAGAGGAGTGCAGACTGACCTCCCAAACTCCGCTGAAGGGTCTGCACACAATTATACTTTGTGACTGAAGCGCACAGCAGTGCGGCAGTGCACACCGGCTGGCGCTGCAGCTGCTCCCAGAGGGTAGGACTTCCTGTTCTCCACCTACAAGTGGCAGCCCCCAAAACCACCACCACTTGGAGAGAATTGGTCTTGACTCAGAAAGTGAGACTGCTTCCCCTTTTGAGGCAGGAATCTTTGTAAATCATAATAAAGAAGGAGCTTAGCTTCTATCAAAAGTGAAAAAAGAAAGCTTTGAAATGGTTTCTTTCCATTGGGAAAGAAAATGTTCTTTCATTTAATTTCTTTTTGAGCCCATCTGGGTGATCTGTTCTGTCACTTCTCCAGAGAAGCAATGCAAACAACTTAAAAACGGCTTTTAAACAATAAAGGAATAAAGCTAAAGTGTAGTCATCTTTCCTAGAATAGGAATAGGAAACTCTTCACCTCATTTCTGAATGAACAGCCAGAAGGCACCAAGCATGACATTCACATGCAGTTTGCTTAGTTTTAAAAATTATATGTATGTATATGATTTGTATATAAAACGTGATTTACTTATATTTCAAACAAAAAAATCTACATGTTCAAGCAAATCAAACAAAACATGTTTTAAAAATTAATAATTCCCCCAACCAATCTCATTCCCACATTGGAAGCAGTTAGTATATTCTTCCACACCTGTCTTCACATATCTACACAGATATGCTTTTTCCCTTTCCTTCTTTCTTTCTTTTCTTTTTCTTTTCCACAAAAATGACATTTTAGTACACATATTACTCCCCTGTATTTTTTATACTAAAGAACATATCATGGATTTCACCCTTGGTCAGGAGGTATAGCTACATTTTTTGTAATAACAGTATAATATCCAACAATATGGATTACCACAAATTATTTAACATTTCCATATTGATAGGTATTTAGGTTGCCTCCTTTTCGTTTCCTGACTGTATAATCATACTGTAAAAATCCTTTTTAAAGTTCCTTATGTGATGCTATTCCATTTCCCTTCCTCCAAAATGTGAGGGTGCTAGGTCAAGGGGTAAGCATGTTAAAATAAATCCACAGATATTAACAAATTATTTCCTCCAAATTTGACAATTTACTTTCTCACTAGCAGTGTAAGAGAGCACTCTTTGTCAATCTTATGGGGGGGGAAATACTATTTGATTGCTTTAACTTATATTTCCCTAACTCCTTAGTGAGGTTGAACATCTTGTCATGTGCTTATTGGTGATTTAATTTTCTTCTATGAACTGCCTGCTCAAATCTTTTGTTTCCTTTTCTATTCCGTTGCCTTTTTATTATTAATTTTTAGGTGGCTTATATATTAAACACATTAACCATTAACACATTACATATGATCGTTCCCATATCTCTTTGTGCAGTTTCTATTGACTTTGGTATCTTTTGTCGCATATAATCTTTTTTTTTTTCTTTTTTTTTGAGACAGAGTCTCACACTTTTGCCCGGGCTAGAGTGCCGTGGCGTCATCCTCGCTCACAGCAACCTCACACTCCTGGGCTCGAGTGATCCTCCTGCCTCAGCCTCCCGAGTAGCTGGGACTACAGGCATGCGCCACCATGCCCGGCTAATTTTTTCTATATATTTTTAGTTGTCCAGCCAATTTCTTTCTATTTTTAGTAGAGACGAGGTCTCGCTCTTGCTGAGGCTGGTCTCGAACTCCTGAGCTCAAACGATCCACCTGCCTCGGCCTCCCAGAGTGCTAGGATTACAGGCATGAGCCACTGCGCCTGGTCTGTCACATATAATTTTTAAAAAACTTTTTGTAGTCAAATATATCTTTCTTTTCCTTTATGGTTTTTGAATTTCTTGTCAACTTTATGGCTTCCCCTACCTCAGATTAAACAGGTTGTATATCCTATTTCTTAATTTTCTTTTCACTGCCTTTGGTTTTTACATTTAGACCTTTAATCTATCTGAAATCTTTTTTTTCCTATTGTGTGATGATACCAAGTCCTTTTGTTTCGAATTGTTTTCTTCCAAATGAATAGCATTTATTAAATAAGCATTCTTTCTCCACCAAATTGAAATACCATTGTGTGGCAGAAAAAGTTCTCGTTCACACTTGGACTGTTTCTGTACTCTCTACTCTTTCCATGAATGTATTTGTTTGTTCCTGTGTTAATTACTTGTTTGGAATAGGGCAGGTCTCCCTTCACTTCTTTTTCAATCTTTTCTTGGTTATTTTTGGATATTTGTTCTTTTGCATAAAGTTTAAGACTCTTACTGCATTTAAAATCAGAATTATATTAAACTTAATATTAGCAGTGAAGTGGAGGAAGCTGTGTACAGGACCAGAGAAGGAACTGTAGGGCCCAGGGCCACCCTAGCCGACAGCAGCAAGGAAACGGGGACCTCACTCCTACGATTGCAAGGATCTAGATTCTGCCAACAACCTGAATTAGCTTGGAAGCTGATTCTACCCCGGAGTTTCCCAGTCAGAGCCCAGGCGGGCTGACACCTCGATTTTGGCCTTGTTAGACCCAGAGCAAAGAAACCAGCCAAGCCAACCTGGACTTCTTTTGTATAGAAACTGTGGGGTAATAAATTTGGGTTGTGCTAAGCCATCAAGTTTGTGGTAATTTGTTATAGCAGCAATAGAAAATGAATAGAGGCCGGGCGCCGTGGCTCATGCCTGTAATCCTAGCACTCTGGGAGACCGAGGCGGGAGGATCGTTCGAGGTCAGGAGTTCGAAAATGAATAGAATTATTCATGGATTTTTTTGGTCCTTATTAATTTACTTTTCCTGGTGTATTTTGCTGCTCTTTTTTAGTTTAAGTGAATAGTTTATGTATTTCAAGTTTTTCTTTAAAAAAAATAATAAAAGCATTTAAGTCTGTACTCCTCTGAGAAGTATTTTAGTTAAGACTCATGGATCTTAGAATAAGTATTCTTTTTTTATAATTCCTAGATATTTCTTAATTTTTCATATTAAGATATAGAGCAGAGTACAAGCTGGTTTTAGAGAATCCAGTTAAAAGGTATATGTGGTATAGGGAATGTTTTATTATTATTATATATTATTTATTCTCACAGTTATCTGTTCTGTCACTTCTCCAGAGAAGCAATGCAAACAACTTAAAAACGGCTTTTAAACAATAAAGGAATAAAGCTAAAGTGTAGTCATCTTTCC